AAAAAAAAAAAAAAAAAAAAAAAAAAGAAGAAGAAGAAATACTAAAGGTGCTATCTACTATATTTATTCTGTTACCACCTAATTTGGGATTTAGTTTACAAGCTTACAAAAAAAAACCCAGCATTGCACTGGCAGCCTTCGCAAGGATGGTGGGCCTGGTGGCCACCAATTATTGAATACCGCATCCAGACCAACTACTGCTCATTTTTACAAATAATAGAACAGTTGAAGAGAGTCGTTGGGCGCACGCGCACCTCGTGCATCAGAAATTATACTTTTTTAAGGTTTTTCTTGTGTGTATGTGTGTGTCACAAAGCCTCCGTTTTCAATCGTCGGGATAATATATTTGCATCTATCCCTATACTAAATATAATTTGAGATACTTTCCTTCGTTTTGATAACGAGATGAGAAAAAAAAATGGTATACTTTTAAAGTAAAAGTTATTTGTTAAGTTGAATGAAAAAATAAATACTACAAAATATTTGTAATATTATTTAAATCATTTAAAAATTCTTTGAATCATTTCAATTAAACATTAAAATTAATAATAATAAGTACAACTAAGTAGTTTATATAATTTGAAAAATAGTACAAACTTTTTGTAATATTTATTTTTAATTTAAATTAAAAATGTAAGTGTTATTATTTTCATTCTGGTTGAGTAGTTATTAATTGTATTTTCTTATTAAATAGTTCTTAACTAGAAATAATATTTTCCTTGTTAAGTAGTTGTTAGTTGTATTTTCTACTTAAAAATATATTGTTTTTTACTTGCTATGTACAGAAGGTTGGCTCCACTATTGAGCCAACTGTTGATTTTATAACAAAAATTCTCAAATACAGTACATCTAAGCAAGAAAACATTGAGACCTTAGACATATTAATTAGATTAATTAACCACGAATGGTTATATTGAATAATAAAAGAACTGGCAATCAAATTTTGAGGTTGTAAAGTTGAACAACTTTCAAGCACTCAACATTAGGGGTGAGTATGAGTCGGTACGGTTCGGAAATTGATAAATGTCCAGAACGTACCGAAGTTCGGAGATCACTAAAATTGATCTTTAGAACCGTACCAAAAAGTCGGTTCGCTCCGGTTCGGAGATTTTTATTTTTCGGTTCAGTTCGGTTCGATTTTCGGGACTATCGGAACGGTTCAGTTCGAATATTCGGAGATTTCTTATCATTTTTAAAAAATTTTTGAATGACCACCTAGTTATATTTTATTTTTTAAATGTGTTTTTTTTTTAAGTCCAACATTCATCAATACTTCATCATACTAAATATTTTATTTTTAAATCGACTTTAGAAGTAAACCTAAATTTTAGTTAAGACTAAATTTAACTAACATTGAAAATTTAAAATTCAAACAAAATATAATATAATTTTATATTAAAGTAATATTTATTTAACCTTCCATATCATGTTAGTTATAAGATAAACTAAGGCTAAGTATCGACAACTTTAAATAAAGCTTAAATATTTTTTTTTTTAAATCTTTAACCTTTCATTCCATTTTATTTTTATTTTTTTAAACAGGAGATATTCAATTGTAGATCAAGTATTACTAAACATGAAATGTAAGTGAATCTTAATTGTTGTTACTATATTTTATTTGTATTTTAAAAATTCTCAAATTATATAGGATCAAAGTTGACATAAAATATATTAATAACACGTACCTATTTTTATAATTTGGTTCTTAATTTCGGTTCTGTACTAGACGGCTCGATTCGGTTCTCGGTACGGATATTTATGAAATATCCAGAACCATATCAATTATTTTTTCGGTGCGGTTCGATTCGGAGAAAGTCAAATAATCAACGAATATTTCTCGGTTGGGAGTGATTTCGGTTCGATTTATGGAGCGATTTTTGAAATTCTCTGAGTTTCATGCTCAACACTACTCAACATGTATATAATATGTATATAATGACAATCATATAGCCACAAATAAAACACTACATGAGTAATTGAAACACCTACAAATTCTGGGGTTCTCTTTCTGAATTAATCATTACCATTCGTTGCCAATTCTCGACTTAACAATGAGCTGGTGGTGGAACGGTGCTCGCGGAACAACCCTTGTAAGTTCCCTCCGTCTCTCTGACCATTCCTTTTCTTAATACACCTTTAATTATAATTACAAAATCAATTCAATTACTACACTCCAAAAGCAATCTCCATTACTAAGTCGTTACTATGCTCTATTTTTACAGAAACTATGAAATTACACAAGCTGTATCGCTTTTGTGTGTGTGTGTGTGTGTTTTGTCAAATAATAGAAGATTGGTAAATTAATAAACATGAATTGCAGAAACATGGTGATGAGAGCGCGGCCCCACAGAAAGTGGCCCTGATCGTGGGCGTGACTGGTATCGTGGGTGACAGCCTGGCGAGGATCCTCCCTATTGCGGATACCCCAGGAGGGCCCTGGAAGGTGTACGGCGTGGCCCGCCGCCCTAGGCCCTCGTGGAACACTGACCACCCAGTCCACTACATACAGTGCGACGTGGCCGACTCGACCGACACCATGGCCAAGCTCTCCCCCTTAGCCGACGTAACCCACATCTTCTGGGTCACGTGGGCCAATCGGCCCACCGAGACCGAGTGCTGCCAACTCAACGGCGCCATGCTCCGCAACGTCCTCGACGCCGTCGTCCCCAACGCCTCCGGCCTTGCCCACATCTGCATCCAGACGGGCCACAAGCACTACATCGGCCCGTTCGAGGCGTTCGGGAAGATCAAGCCCCACGAGACCCCCTTCGTGGAGGACGTCCCGCGGCTCGACGCACCCAACTTCTACTACACGCTCGAGGACGTGGCGCTCGAGACGTGCGAGCGGCACCACGGCGGCCTGACGTGGTCCGTCCACAGGCCGGCTGTCATATTCGGGTTCTCGCCCTACAGCATGATGAACTTGGTGGGGGCTCTGTGCGTTTATGCTGCCGTCTGCAAGCACGAGAAGGCGCCGCTGAAGTTTCCGGGCACGAAGGCCGCCTGGAACTGCTATTTTGTGGCATCTGACGCGGACTTGATTGCGGAGCAGCAGATATGGTGTTGTGTGGAGCCCAACGGGAAGAACCAGGCGTTTAATTGCAGTAATGGGGATGTTTTCAAGTGGAAGCGTTTGTGGAAGGTGTTGGCAGATGGGTTTGATGTGGAGTACGTGGAGTTTGACGAGAGCGAGGGTTATGTCAGCCTGGCGGAGAGGATGAAGGATAAGGGAGCGGTTTGGGATGAGATTGTGGAGGAGAATAATCTCACGGGGACCAAGTTGGAGGACTTTAGTTTCTGGTTTGCGGATTTGATGCTTTTTGGAGAGTGTATGCTGGACAGCATGAACAAGAGTAAGGAACGCGGGTTTTTTGGGTTTAGGAACTCTGAGACTTCGCTGCTTTCTGTTATTCACAAAATGAAAGCCCACAAGATTGTTCCTTGATTAATAAGGATATGTACGTGTGCTATGATTCTGCTTTTAGAGATCCCAATCTCCGAATAAGATTTTCCTCTCTTTTCATTATTAAAAACAGGGGACGTTTCTCCTTATTTTGATTGTTTTTTTTTTCTCCCAATAATAGAAGAAATCTCAATAGACGGAAAAACAACATCCAAAGTACTGGTACTAACCGAAACACAAGCCCCCAAAGGCTAAAATACACTGAAAAAACCACTAAAAAGTGGCCTACAAACACACTCAAACTACACGCCTAAGGGCAGGAACAGGAACAGACTGCCTGGAACCCCCTCAGATGCTAACTACCACAAACAACCAGCAACACAACACCACCAAATTAGCAAACAAAGCAAACAAAAACCAGAAGAAAGGGAAAAGCCAGAAATGAAACCACAGAGCAATAGAAGAAAACACTTGCCACTCCAATAAGGATCTCTTCACTGTGATTTCTTTAGGTTGCATCACTGTCGCCTGCCGGTTGTTAATTTCTAGAACTTGTATAGCTTTTGGTCTTTCCTTTGTTGCTGCTTTTTCTTTTAGTAGTGTTTTGATAACTAACTAGGTCCCCTTTGGTGCAGTGGTTAGTTATTTTTGTTGTGGTGCTGGTGTTTATCTTCAGATATCAGTGCTGGTTAGAGTCGCGTTTGAACCTCAGGTACTATGCTAAGTCTAGCTGGGGTTTAAACTCAGTTCTAAGTGGTTTGTATTTTTAAGGAGTGGTGGTCTCCTCATTCATGCTCTGTTGCATTAGGGCATTGTGCCCCAAACTCTGTAATAATTTTCTTGAGTTATAATATATATCGTTTCGGAAAAATAATAATAATAATAATAATAATGAGAGGAGTTAATATTCCCTAGCCGATGCCGTGTTAAGACAAATTAACTCAATATTTTTACATCTAAAACTCATTGTATAACCATTAAATCAAATATAAATAAGTATTTGTATTTTTATATTTACGAATATTATTTGTAATTTTATATTTCCTGTTATGGTTCCTTCTCTGTTTGGGATATTATGGGACCCGAGGAGCATCCCGTAGCTGCCGCCCCGAACTCCAAAGTTAGTAAAAAATATAGTTTGTATGGAGTTACATACTACTGAAGTTTGATTCAGCTCGACCTAAAAGCTAGCTCCTATTCAACTATCAATTCAACCAAACTCCACAATTGTTTAGCCTAATAAAACTAGGCTTCAAACTGATTCAGTTACAGGCTTACATGATAAATGGACCAAATTCATTTATCATCTATCATTGAAAAATATAAACACAAATAACATATAGAAAACAAACTTTTAACAGAAAATCTTGCAGCAGCCTCAGACACAGCTTTCCCTAATGATTTGTTTTACAACATTCTCTACAACACAGTTCATCAGCAGGAAAAGGAATAAGCTAAATTAGAAACATGCAGTTATTGAAAAATGATAAAAATTACGAAATATACCCACAGCCCCACGAGTTCACTTCTCATAAAACAACATCAAATAGGTTGAATGAACAGGCATCTACACAGTGTGGAGCTTCCTCTTTGCGAACCAAGCAAGGATTTTTTTACCATAAAGGTTGCTCTGCATGGATGGCGCATTTGCTTGGATTAAATTAAGCAATGCATCATGGATGTGCCCCTGTTATTGGATAACAGAAAGTAAGCTTTCATTTCTAAAGCCATGTAGTTCCACAAACTATCTAATGCAGCCGCAAAATTTAAATAAAAGTCAACTGACTCTCTCAGAAGATCATAAACAAATTATCACAAAACATGGAAACTTAAACATCAAACAATTTACAGGATATCATCAAACCACACCACAATGATGAATTGGATGTTAGCCTAAAATAGCTCATCAGGTAGACCTTTGGGGAGCTTTGTGGTACTAAATTTGCATTAATTTGATTGTATAGCCTTTTCGTCAATCAATATGCATAGGAGCAAACATGCTCAACATAACTCGAGCGAACAACACATAAACTAAGAGGACACTATCGAAAATCAAAGCTCTGTGTACGCACAATGAGTTGTCTCCAAAGACTGGAATTGATGATAACATGAACAATCTGGGACATGGAAACAGTCTAAGATTTAGAGAAAACATGGGGGAATGTACCTAACTAACATAACCAAGAGACGGATAAAACTTGCAACGTTGACCGTAACCTGTCCCGAGTCAACACCATGAGAGGCATCTGGTGTGGGATGGGAAAAGGATATGAAAGAAACTGAAAATTGTGAGGGTACAATTGGATATGATTTTTCTGAAATTTTTTGCCTCGTTCGAAAATAGAGATGACATTGCGGAAAAAAATAATTTTATAATAAGAGAGAGAGAGAACTGAAATTTGAATGAATTTAAGATAAGAAAGAAAAAGAAAAAAAAAAGTAATGATTAAAATTGATGTGATATAAAAATAATAAAAAATGATTGATAAGATTGGTAGTTAGAAATATGTGAATGATGAATAAGGTTTTTTGTATAACAACAACCACAACAACTACTGCTATTTTGTTATGTCTTAGTAAGATTGTAGAGACGATAAGTGGAAAGATATGAGTAGCAACCTTTGTGAATTGTTTTTGGTTTTTTCTTAGTTCAATGAGATAAATATTGACTAAACAGACAAAAAAAAAAAAAATATAACTAATTTTTAAACCAAGTGTTTATAGACAGAGGCAAGCAAAAAAGTTTCTAGCATCCAATCTGATGGTTTTGTTTATTCACAAGAAGTAATCCCTACAAATTACTCCATGGTACTTGATAAGTATACACAAGTGAAGTAGTCAATAGTGGGTAATTACAGTTCATTGGAGTGAAGGATTCAACACGAGATGAAGATCAGAACATTCATATGCACAAGCTATGAACAAATCAAAAAGAATGTCCCAAGATATTAGCGAATGACGGCCTGACCTTTTCTACTGCCTGATCTACTTTTCAGGGAAAATGATTCAACATGTACAAAAAGGCCGGAACTAATTTTGAGAGAGTGGCTAGATATGGAATGAAAATGAAGTGAAGAGAGTAGATCTGATTGTTCTTTTCTAAAAGTGTGGTGATATGATGTGATTAATTGCTTAAAAGTCCTATGGTATTAGTTAATATGAAAGTGCAATGACGAAAGTCAGTGTGGCACACTTTGGGAACTATAGTTAGTGCAGATTGATTGATATTTGCTAATTGAAGTGAGAGTTTAAAGTTTTTACAAATTACAAGCAGTTGCATGTTGGGACCAACAGAAAACATGTATTGAATAAAATGATGGAAATTATTCTTAAGCAATCACACCTGAAAATTCAGCTGCCGACAACCAAACATGCGTTACTGAACCAAAAGAAGGCATTCCAAAAACTGATATTATTCCAGTAGATGAAATAGGATATCATACCTTGGATGCTGATAATGCCGACTGAATGACGAAATTTCCAAAAGGGTCGAGCAGAAGCATAGAGGCATTAGGGCTCGTCAGCAGCTCCATGATAATTGCGTCAGAGTTATTTTCTTGCGACTCCAGCAAAAGCTTTTCCACAACATTACTCGCATACTTATTGCATGAGAGAGACACAAACGACCCTTGCAACCGTCTCACAAGATCTGCTGTAACTTCTTGCATGTCCAATCCAAGCAGGTGTTGCACCACATAGTTGCTAAAAAATCGTCAATAAGTCGGAAAATCAAGATCCTCAAGAAGCTAAATAATACTAATCAGGTAGAGAAGGAGGGATTGAAATCATACATACCCATAAGGATCTTCAGCTAGGTGCACAGCGTTTGCTATTATCGCTCTAACCAATCGTTCTCTAGCTTCTCCATGAGAGTACTCCACGCATGGGGGTAATACACAGCACCCACTTTTGTTGGTTGCAATTTTGAAACAGTTGTCTGCTATCTCGTTGAAAAGATGCTGTCAACAAAAGCCAATATCAAATACATGACTGAGCTTTAAGAATTTCGCCCAACAATTGCTATTTCGTTAACAGTGAGATGAAAAATGTCAAACATATATGCAACATGAATGGGGTGACTGTACAAGTCAATCACAATTCTAGCGCATTGGAAATCTTTACGGCACTTCATGCATAAGATACTAAATAAACAATGTCCTACAGTGCAACTCTACAGAAAACAGAGTTCATACTGCCTAAAAATTAGTTTCCAACTAAACATGCAGCTAAAAAGCTGAGAGTTCCCTGTACAATTTAGTAAGCTGATTCTCAGCACCAGAAATATATGAAAAGACAAGACAGACATGGGAAATTCACAAACTCTAATCCATCACATATATTGTAACTCACAATTCTAGTTCTTCAAGAATGATACATTTAAATGGTCGGTCCCACTGAACAAACCAGAACTCATTGTTAATTGGATTGATTTAATTTTAAGAAAATTACCAGAGAACCAACAGGCAAACAGGAAAACGATAATAACTAGGAACACATAGTGAGAACAATGTTGACTACAAAATGGAGGTCTTCAGTTGACTAGTTGTTGGTTGAGCTCATCAACAAACAATCTTATACGCCAAGGTTACAGTGCTTATAAGATTTGCTAAAGTTCTTCAATGTAAAAGAATGATAATAAAATGGGTTATACCTCAAAACATTACATTGCAGGAGATCGTATTCTGGTTAAGAAAATTGAGTATATTATGATATTATAAATTTCACATCTTGATCACATAATTACATTACTACTCGAGATGTTATATAAGCATGATGCTTATTTATAAAATATTGGAAGAGTTTTAGTTAACACAATCAAGCATGATGCTTATTTATAAATTTAACCAACATCTTAAGTTTACAAGAGTTTTAGTTAACACAATCAAGCATAGTTTCTATCATAATTGTTTGATAGTGAGTGCATTCTATTCATCCATCAACAGCAATCATAAAAAATATAGGCACCTAAATAGAGTTATTATCATCAAAGCAGTTCAGTAAACAATTTAATTGAACCTTAATCGAGCATTGTTGACCAAGAGTCTAAGTTAACAGTGATTGATTTGTCGGCACATATCTAAATTGTCAATCATAAAATGTTGATGCCAAATAATAACATTTGATAAAGATGATGGTTTTGACTTTTATTGGTATACCTCTTTGAAGCTCCCTAATCCACTTTAGTCAATAAATTTTTAAGTCAACCACAATTTTATATATAGTGTGCAATATCTACAAAGTCGCCTCAATGATATTCCTTACGCTCTATAAGACTAACAATGTTTCCCCATAAAAAAAATAACAATCAGTAAAACAATTTAAATAATTAGCCTAATAAAAGAAGAGGGAGTGAGCATTTGAAAAAGTTTGGATGAAAAGCAATGCCACCCATGTACGTGGAGTAATACAACCTAACATACAGTATACAAACAGTGAACGTCTGAGTTGAGCAGTCAATAGGATAGAAATTTCTAGTCAGATCCCAAAGCAAATGTAGCAAATTTGGCATCACTGTGAAAAATCTCAGAATTAACTTGTGCAGTTGAAGGCCTAAGAAGGGATACAGAAACTCAACAACAGCTTGGGCTTATATTAGTAGGCATACAGACAACTGATTGAAATAAAAGCTAATTCACCATATAATCGACAAAAGTATGGTTTGTAATAACACTTGTAACAGCTTCAGATTTAGTCTTAGTCCACACGACCGATATCAACACAAGGCAATCAGATAATACAACTTTTTTGTTTTTATGTGTTAATTAATTACTTGATTGGGGTCTCAATATATTTTAACCAAGCATAAAAGCAGTGACAGGACAAGAAAACCAGATTTAATAACGAAAAAAAAGGGGGGACTAATTTAAAAATGC